CAGGCTGTTCTGTGATTGGATGAGAATAACCGGCCCGCTAAGACTCTACTCAGCACTTTTTACGGCCTAAACTCATACACCGCTGGGTTTTCAATTAAATTATAGATTATAATACAACTTGTATGTAGTAATAAGCATTTTTATCAACTACTCACAAAAAATATCGGGTATAGCTTCTTTAAGGGAACAGCAGGTGCCACAGTGGGGCGGCTGCTACTCTAAAGTTCCAAACTGTGGCTGTGTCCTTAGGCAAGACACTTCCCCCACATCAGAATGAGTCTGGTGTGTGTGTGAATGGTTGGTGGTGGTGGGAGGGGCTTCTGTCAGTGTGCCCCAGGGCAGCTGTGGCTACAGTAGTAATAGTGAACGAATAACGCCACACACACACACACTGTTCTGTCGTCCTTGTGGTAGAATCTCGTTCCAATTCGATTTGTGGAGAATTGAGCGGAGAGGCGCTGTTGGAGTGTGTTTTCTGAAATGGGCCGTGCCTGATATGGCATGTGTGACCAATTAAAAGCCACAGCTGTTCTGCTTCCATCTGTCAGGACGCCGCCACCGGATCCATGTCACTCCACGCCTCTCTCTCCGACATTGTTTATGCAGTATTTAAAAAACTGGGATAGAGCGTCCTGCGGAAAGGAAAGGTCAGGACGGGGTTTGAGTTTGAGTGGATACGATTTTTATATTATACTAATCTGCCTCAAAAAACTGCTGTGAAAATAATAACAACATTAGACCCAGGACTGAGGCTGTAGACCCAGGACTGACGCTGTAGACCCAGGACTGAGGCTGTAGCTCCAGGACTGAGGCTGTAGACCCAGGACTGAGGCAGTAGACCCAGGACTGAGGCTGTAGACCCAGGACTGAGACTGTAGATCCAGGACTGAGGCTGTAGACCCAGGACTGAGGCTGTAGACCCAGGACTGAGACTGTAGATCCAGGACTGAGGCTGTAGATCCAGGACTGAGGCTGTAGATCCAGGACTGAGGCTGTAGATCCAGGACTGAGGCTGTAGACCCAGGACTGAGGCTGTAGCTCCAGGACTGAGGCTGTAGACCCAGGACTGAGGCTGTAGATCCAGGACTGAGGCTGTAGACCCAGGACTGAGGCTGTAGCTCCAGGACTGAGGCTGTAGACCCAGGACTGAGGCTGTAGACCCAGGACTGAGGCTGTAGACCCAGGACTGAGACTGTAGATCCAGGACTGAGGCTGTAGACCCAGGACTGAGGCTGTAGACCCAGGACTGAGACTGTAGATCCAGGACTGAGGCTGTAGATCCAGGACTGAGGCTGTAGATCCAGGACTGAGGCTGTAGATCCAGGACTGAGGCTGTAGACCCAGGACTGAGGCTGTAGCTCCAGGACTGAGGCTGTAGACCCAGGACTGAGACTGTAGATCCAGGACTGAGGCTGTAGACCCAGGACTGAGGCTGTAGACCCAGGACTGAGGCTGTAGACCCAGGACTGAGGCTGTAGACCCAGGACTGAGGCTGTAGACCCAGGACTGAGGCTGTAGACCCAGGACTGAGGCTGTAGCTCCAGGACTGAGGCTGTAGACCCAGGACTGAGACTGTAGATCCAGGACTAAGGCTGTAGACCCAGGACTGAGGCTGTAGACCCAGGACTGAGGCTGTAGACCCAGGACTGAGGCTGTAGACCCAGGACTGAGGCTGTAGACCCAGGACTGAGGCTGTAGACCCAGGACTGAGGCTGTAGACCCAGGACTGAGGCTGTAGACCCAGGACTGAGGCTGTAGACCCAGGACCGAGGCTGTAGACCCAGGACTGACGCTGTAGACCCAGGACTGAGACTGTAGACCCAGGACTGAGGCTGTAGACCCAGGACTGAGGCTGTAGACCCAGGACTGAGGCTGTAGACCCAGGACTGACGCTGTAGACCCAGGACTGAGACTGTAGACCCAGGACTGAGGCTGTAGACCCAGGACTGAGGCTGTAGACCCAGGACTGAGGCTGTAGACCCAGGACTGAGGCTGTAGCTCCAGGACTGAGGCTGTAGACCCAGGACTGAGACTGTAGATCCAGGACTAAGGCTGTAGACCCAGGACTGAGGCTGTAGACCCAGGACTGAGGCTGTAGACCCAGGACTGAGGCTGTAGACCCAGGGACTGAGGCTGTAGACCCAGGACTGAGGCTGTAGACCCAGGACTGAGGCTGTAGACCCAGGACTGAGGCTGTAGACCCAGGACTGAGGCTGTAGACCCAGGACTGAGGCTGTAGACCCAGGACCGAGGCTGTAGACCCAGGACTGACGCTGTAGACCCAGGACTGAGACTGTAGACCCAGGACTGAGGCTGTAGACCCAGGACTGAGGCTGTAGACCCAGGACTGAGGCTGTAGACCCAGGACTGAGGCTGTAGACCCAGGACTGACGCTGTAGACCCAGGACTGAGACTGTAGACCCAGGACTGAGGCTGTAGACCCAGGACTGAGGCTGTAGACCCAGGACCTGAGGCTGTAGACCCAGGACTGAGGCTGTAGACCCAGGACTGAGGCTGTAGACCCAGGACTGAGGCTGTAGACCAGGACTGGACGCTGTAGACCCAGGACTGAGACTGTAGACCCAGGACTGAGGCTGTAGACCCAGGACTGAGACTGTAGACCCAGGACTGAGGCTGTAGACCCAGGACTGAGGCTGTAGACCCAGGACTGAGGCTGTAGACCCAGACCCAGGACTGAGGCTGTAGACCCAGGACTGAGACTGTAGACCCAGGACTGAGGCTGTAGCCCCAGGACTGAGGCTGTAGATCCAGGACTGAGGCTGTAGACCCAGGACTGAGGCTGTAGACCCAGGACTGAGGCTGTAGACCCAGGCCTGAGGCTGTAGACCCAGGACTGACGCTGTAGACCCAGGGATGAGGCTGTAGACCCAGGACTGAGACTGTAGACCCAGGACTGAGGCTGTAGACCCAGGACTGAGACTGTAGACCCAGGACTGAGGCTGTAGACCCAGGACTGAGGCTGTAGACCCAGGACTGAGGCTGTAGACCCAGGACTGAGGCTGTAGACCCAGGACTGAGGCTGTAGACCCAGGACTGAGGCTGTAGACCCAGGACTGAGACTGTAGACCCAGGACTGAGGCTGTAGACCCAGGACTGAGGCTGTAGACCCAGGACTGAGGCTGTAGACCCAGGACTGAGGCTGTAGACCCAGGACTGAGGCTGTAGACCCAGGACTGAGACTGTAGATCCAGGACTGAGGCTGTAGACCCAGGACTGAGGCTGTAGACCCAGGACTGAGGCTGTAGACCCAGGACTGAGGCTGTAGACCCAGGACTGAGGACTGTAGACCCAGGACTGAGGCTGTAGACCCAGGACTGAGACTGTAGACCCAGGACTGAGGCTGTAGACCCAGGACTGAGGCTGTAGACCCAGGACTGAGACTGTAGACCCAGGACCTGAGGCTGTAGATCCAGGACTGAGGCTGTAGACCCAGGACTGAGGCTGTAGATCCAGGACTGAGACTGTAGACCCAGGGACTGAGACTGTAGACCCAGGACTGAGGCTGTAGACCCAGGACTGAGGCTGTAGACCCAGGACTGAGACTGTAGACCCAGGACTGAGGCTGTAGACCCAGGACTGAGGCTGTAGACCCAGGACTGAGGCTGTAGGACCCCAGGACTGAGGCTGTAGACCCAGGACTGAGGCTGTAGACCCAGGACCGAGGCTGTAGACCCAGGACTGAGGCTGTAGATCCAGGACTGAGGCTGTAGATCCAGGACTGAGGCTGTAGACCCAGGACTGAGGCTGTAGATCCAGGACTGAGGCTGTAGATCCAGGACTGAGGCTGTAGATCCAGGACTGAGGCTGTAGATCCAGGACTGAGGCTGTAGATCCAGGACTGAGGCTGTAGACCCAGGACTGAGGCTGTAGATCCAGGACTGAGGCTGTAGATCCAGGACTGAGGCTAGATCCAGGACTGAGGCTGTAGATCCAGGACTGAGGCTGTAGATCCAGGACTGAGGCTGTAGATCCAGGACTGAGGCTGTAGATCCAGGACTGAGGCTATAGATCCAGGTCTGAGGCTGTAGACCCAGGACTGAGGCTGTAGATCCAGGACTGAGGCTGTAGATCCAGGACTGAGGCTGTAGACCCAGGACTGAGGCTGTAGATCCCTGAGGCTGTAGACCCAGGACTGAGGCTGTAGACCCAGGACTGAGGCTGTAGACCCAGGACTGAGGCTGTAGATCCAGGACTGAGGCTGTAGATCCAGGACTGAGGCTGTAGACCCAGGACTGAGGCTGTAGATCCAGGACTGAGGCTGTAGACCCAGGACTGAGGCTGTAGATCCAGGACTGAGGCTGTAGATCCAGGACTGAGGCTGTAGATCCAGGACTGAGGCTGTAAATCCAGGACTGAGGCTGTAGATCCAGGACTGAGGCTGTAGACCCAGGACTGAGGCTGTAGATCCAGGACTGAGGCTGTAGATCCAGGACTGAGGCTGTAGATCCAGGACTGAGGCTGTAAATCCAGGACTGAGGCTGTAGACCCAGGACTGAGGCTGTAGATCCAGGACTGAGGCTGTAGATCCAGGACTGAGGCTGTAGATCCAGGACTGAGGCTGTAGATCCAGGACTGAGGCTGTAGATCCAGGACTGAGGCTGTAGATCCAGGACTGAGGCTGTAGACCCAGGACTGAGGCTGTAGACCCAGGACTGAGGCTGTAGACCCAGGACTGAGGCTGTAGATCCAGGACTGAGGCTGTAGATCCAGGACTGAGGCTGTAGATCCAGGACTGAGGCTGTAGACCCAGGACTGAGGCTGTAGACCCAGGACTGAGGCTGTAGACCCAGGACTGAGGCTGTAGATCCAGGACTGAGGCTGTAGATCCAGGACTGAGGCTGTAGATCCAGGACTGAGGCTGTAGATCCAGGACTGAGGCTGTAGATCCTCATGGACGTAGAGCCACATGGACGGCGAAAGTGGTGGAGCAATAGTTTGAATGACGCAGATGGGCGTGACTACATCCGTTAATACAGTCTATGGTGTGTCCTCAGCTGCTGCACGACCAGGTGGGCGTGGTGGACTATGCTCCGTACAAGGCCCTCTTCATGCAGACTCTGTCCAGAGGTCGTTCCTGCTTCCTGGGTCTGCCCTGTCTGCCCTCTCTGTCCTGTCTGTCCTCTCTGCCCTGTCTGCCCCCTCTGCCCTCTCTGCGAGGTCACCCCCAGAGGAACTGGAAGGTAACGCTCTGACCCTCACACACTGGACTCTTTATTTTGACTCAATGTTCAGGAGCTGCAGGACACTGGTTTATTGTCAGAACAGATAAAGGTGAATGAGTGAGGTCTCTCTCCCTCCTCTCCCTCCCCTCTCTCCCTCACCTCAACCCTGAAGTAAAACAGATTCAATTAAATAGTCCAATACTTTGCTCCACTGTATTCATTTAATTGTCTGCGCAGAATATCGCGATACTGTACAGAATCGTCTTTTTTTTCCCACCACTATATTCATTATAGAAACAACTTCCAAACAGAGGGTTTCCATGGTAACACACTGCAACGTGTTTCCACCTGGATTCATTCCATAGAATCCCGTTACCATGGAAACGGAATGATCGTTTCCATGGTAACGTGTCATAGATAGATTTCACCTGACCCAGAAATGGATTAAAGGGAAGAAGATGGATGGATGGATGGATTGTCTAGCAGAGTCCGGCAGACAGCAGATTTACTCAATTTAGTTTAATCTTCATTATGGCAGGAAGCAATAACAAGGACAGGTCTCTCTATAGAGAGATGTTACAGGAGATAGGAGACGCCAAGACGGGGCCACAGACCCAGAGATTTTCAGAGAGATTTCAGTCGGGCCAGATTTACTCCACTCAGAGGTCGCCAGATAAGGCCATGAGTGGAAGCAAGACGACTCTGGAGGATCTGCCCATCGTCATCGGAGAAGATATAAAGTGTCTTCTCAGATCCTTCTGGGACAAACTTCGAGCTCAGGACATCACTGGCAGGAGGCCAAGGCCAAGATGGAGGACATGTTCATGGATCTGATCCGTGTGTCGGCCAATGAGGTCCTCAGGGCGCTGGTGACCGGGAAGTGCCTTTATGAGTGTTCCCCTGGTGAGGTGCAGGTGTCGCACACAGGAGTCAGAGCTTCTCTCAGCCCCATCTTCAGAACCTTCCTGAAAACCAAGTCCACAGATGAGTTCGTCGCCCTGGACCGAGTCATCAAACTCCTCAGTGCAGAAGTGACTAAGACGGTCAACTCTGTGCTGAAGGACAACTGTGGCTTTGAGAGTCTGCTGCTGGTGGAGCAGAAGGACTGCTCCACAGCACGGAGCACTCTGCACCACATCGCTGCTCAGGCTTCTATGTTCCTGCCCCACATGACCTTCTCCGACCAGTGGGACCGACTCATCCAGGCCGAGATCTCCAAAGGTCTCACTGAGAGCCACCTGAAAACAGAGGTGCTGGAAGTGGAGACGTCCATCGAAGCCTGAAGAGTCAGAACAGGAGAGAGCGAGGACAGAGGTCAGTGAGAGAAACCCTTCCCCGGGTCGAGCTCATGTCTCTGCAGAACCTCTGATGGAGCAGATGGAGGTGACGCAGGAGGAGTGGGACATTCTTTCATTTGGAGAAGTCCTGATGCAGAGACACTCCCCTGGGGTCCCCCACGAGGAGACCGAGACCCGTGAGGCCGAGACCCGTGAGGCCGAGACCAATGGGACCGAGACCCATGAGACCGAGACCCAAACCCATGAGACTGAGACCCATGAAACTGAGACTCATCAGACCGAGCAGACCTCGTCGTGTGAACCGCCACAGAACCAGGAACCAGCTCAGAGCTCTTTGACCAAACCAAAGAAGAAGAAGAAGAGAAAGCAGAGACCGGCCCAGGACCTGCAGAGTGGGCTTGAATGACCAAGACCCCGGTTGAAAGATTTTCCACGAGTGAATCAGAAAAGTCTCCCCGTGTTGCTCCTGCACAGGTGACTTCATCCATCAGCGAGTCTCAGCAGGTGAAAACCATCAGGTATAACTCTGATGCCCTGGTCCTGATCCCAGACCAGACCCCAATGAAGAGCATCTCCATGAACAAGCGAGAAAGGTCTCCCATAAAGACCAGATACTCTCCCTCTGAAACCCCGCTCAGGCCTCTGCAGCTGGTCCCAGACCAGGTCCCAGACCAGGCCTCAGATCTCATCATGAAGAACCATGAGCTCTCCTCTCAGTGGGAGACCAGTCAGATCCAGGATCTAGCGTGGGGGGTGTCCAGACATATTCTCCAGGACAAAGACCTGTCTCCGACACATCCTCTGGTGACGAAGCTGTCTCAGCGACTGGAGGAACAAATGTGGGAGTGGAGGATAAAGGAGAGTCCGGACTGCATCAAAAGAATCACTTGTGACGTTTACAAAGAGCTGTGCTCAGGAAACAAGAAGACATGGGTCCACTTTACTGCTTTGATCCACGAAGGTTTCAGCGACTGCATCATCTCAGAGATCCACAACCGCCTGGTTGGACCCAAGAAGAAGAGGAGCAGACTGAGCTCCTTCTTCCACTCAGTCCGCCACGCGCTGTGTAGATACTGTTAAGACCCTCTCCCTTCTGTAGATACTGTTAAGACCCTCTCCCTTCTGTAGATACTGTTAAGACCCTCTCCCTTCTGTAGATACTGTTAAGACCCTCTCACTTCTGAATTGTTCAAAATTCATTTTGAGGCAAAAATTTCAATATTTTTGCAGCAGAAAAATGAACGTTCTGTAACTTCCTCTAAAACCTTAAACCAACTTTTCTTCTTCTCGGCGTCAAATGTTCTTCATTTGATGCAGAGAAAAAGACTAAGGGTTGAAGATGGTACAAACTTTGTTGATGTTTTTGAAGTTACTTTCAAAAAAGTCAACACTTTTCAGCCAAAGGTCATGAAGCGCTTTAAGGCTGCAGTAAAGTGCTGCACGTTACAGTAAAGTGCTGCACGTTACAGTAAAGTGCTGCACGTTGCAGTAAAGTGCTGCACGTTACAGTAAAGTGCTGCACGTTACAGTAAAGTGCTGCACGTTACAGTAAAGGGCTGCATGTTACAGTAAAGTGCTGCACGTTACAGTAAAGGGCTGCACGTTACAGTAAAGTGCAGCACGTTACAGTAAAGTGCTGCACGTTGCAGTAAAGTGCTGCACGTTACAGTAAAGTGCTGCACGTTACAGTAAAGTGCTGCACGTTACAGTAAAGTGCTGCACGTTACAGTAAAGTGCTGCACGTTACAGTAAAGTGCTGCACGTTACAGTAAAGTGCTGCACGTTGCAGTAAAGTGCTGCACGTTGCATTAAAGTGCTGCACGTTACAGTAAAGTGCTGCACGTTGCAGTAAAGTGCTGCACGTTGCATTAAAGTGCTGCACGTTACAGTAAAGTGCTGCACGTTACAGTAAAGTGCTGCACGTTACAGTAAAGTGCTGCACGTTGCAGTAAAGTGCTGCACGTTACAGTAAAGTGCTGCACGTTGCAGTAAAGCGACGTACGTTTGAGACAGTTCTGATGAAGTGGAAACGGGTCAAACTGCAGAAGTTTATGGGCGACACGGTGGCTGAGTGGTTAGCACTCTCGCTTCTCAGCAAGAGGCTTCGAATCCCAGGCGGGTCAGGGCCTTTCTGAGTGGAGTTTGAATGTTCTCCCCGTGTCTGCGTAGGTTTCCTCCGGGTGCTCCGGTTTCCCCTACCACTAAAAACATGCACAATAGGTCAGGCATGAGCCTCCTGTAGGCGACTGCTCCATCTCTGTCCACAACAATTGTAAAGCGACAAAATAAATATTTCTTAATTACTTAAAAGAGTGTGAGGCTTAAGCTTTTATAAATAAAGACAAAATGATAATTCTACTGTTGGTAAAAAGACCATTTTGTCTGGACCAATCAGGGTCCTCCTCCTTTCAGCATCTGCGACGTCACCAAGAGAGAAGTTAGCTTCATTAGCTTTGTTACCAGAGAGAGACCAGAGAGAGACCAGAGAGAGACCGAGAGAGACCAGAGAGAGACCCGAGAGAGACCCGAGAGAGACCAGAGAGAGACCCGAGAGAGACCAGAGAGAGACCAGAGAGAGACCAGAGAGACACCAGTGAGAGACCAGAGAGAGACCAGAGAGACACCAGTGAGAGACCAGAGAGAGACCAGAGAGAGACCAGAGAGAGACCAGAGAGAGACCAGAGAGAGACCAGAAAGAGACCAGAGGGAGAGGCCTGGGAGAGACCAGAAAGAGACCAGTGAGAGACCAGAAAGAGACCAGAGAGAGACCAGAAAGAGACCAGAGAGAGAGTTTGGCTCCATCTCTCTGACGAAAACGGGCAACTCCTGTATCAGGCCAGTCTGGGGAATAACAGCAACTGGCCTCAACTACAGTGTGTTTTCTGACATAAACTGTAGAGGGCGCAATACACACACGTTGTCGGAGTGGTACATGGAGCGCGCACATCAGGTCATATCTCCGAAATTGAGGACAACTAGTTGCCGAAAAGTAGAACACGGGAAACTGACTGAAACTGGAGACCAACTGTTCATCTCCAGTTGTAAGAGCGCGCACATCGACCGATTTCAACTGATCATCTCCATCATCTGCTCTCAGTCGCCAAAAGCCGCCTTCAACTAGTTGTCTCCAGTTTCTCTGTCGATGTACGCTAGGCTTAAGGGGTTGTGTAGCTAGCTTGTGACCAGTAGCTCGCCATCCCCTTCCAGGTAGCTCGCCAAAGGATATAGAAGTGAAAACAATGTCACCTGTAACACATTTGTGATCATGACTGTGTCCGATTTCAGGCTCGTTCACACCAATATATTACCATTTTTACCCCCTTAAAGTAGTAGCTCTCTGTCTTTATCGTCCCGGAAAAGTAGCTCTCTGGGTGAAAAAGGCTGGGGACACCTGGAGTAGTGCGAGAGGGGACAGACCAGCGCGGCCTGTGATTGGCTCTCGGGAACTCAGCATAAGTTTGTTCCATATTCCAGCTCAAATAGTCGGTTCTTGGAGAGCTACGGATAGCTCTCTCTGAGTCCAGTCCTTTAAGTCTCTGGATCAAAGTGGGTTTTGATTGAAAATGATCAGAATATTGTTCTTATTGCAGGGCTTCAGAAAGGTTTCCGCCCTCACACTGAAGCTCGGGGCCAGAGGTGAGAGTGGTAGAGGTAAGTCCAGAGCTCTGACTGCAGACGCTGCTCCCTCTTCCCCACAACAGCCTGATACAGGACGTCTTATGACTTTCTCTATGACTCAAACTTTGTAACTGAGATAGTAAATAATATTACTCTCCTACATGCGTCATAAGTAGTTGTTTGGCAAATGTACACACACACAGAGACACACACTGACATTCTCTAACACACACACACACAGAGAGACACACACTGACAATCTCTAACACACACACACACACACAGAGACACACTCTGACATTCTCTAACACACACACACACAGAGAGAGACACACACTGACACTCTCTAACACTCACACACAGAGACAGAGACACACACTGACAATCTCTAACACACACACACACACACACACACACACAAACACAGAGACACACTCTGACATTCTCTAACATACACACACACACACACACACACACAGAGACACACACTGACACTCTCTAACACACACACACACTCACACAGACAGAGACACACACTGACACTCTCTAAAACACACACACACACACACACACACACACACACACACACACACACACACAGACACACACTGACACTCTCTAACACACACTCACACACAGAGACACACACTGACACTCTGTAACACACACACACAGAGACACACACTGACACTCTATAATACACACACACAAACACACACACATGAGAAAGTTGCCTGAATATTTGTAACTACATTTGCCCTTTAACTTTCTTTATCTTAATCTTTTGCTCTCGACATTATCTCCGGTGTTGAGCACAAGTCACAAAACAACAAAAGTCATTTTAACACAAACAGTTACTGAGCCAGAGTTGACTTTTACACCAAAGTCAATCTGAGCCAGAGACAGATGGAGCAAAACTTTGTCCATGAGCACTTCCCTAACGAGTTCCATTGAGCTAGCAGGTTAGCATTGTCCATCTGTTTACAGTCCACAGCTGTGAGTTTCAACAAGTGTTCTGGAAACGCACAATTTAGCTTAATCCACACAGTTAGCAACACATTTTAAACCATAGCTAACTTGGAGTCTTGCTAATGCTAATGCTAATGCTAATACATAGATCTAACACATAGACTCATACACACAATTCCATGTTTCCAGTTACTTGGCTTGGATTTTAACTTACAATACATGTTTTTTTAATGATGGGAGAAACTATAGCTGTATGTAGACATGGGGAGAACATGCAAACTCCACTCAGAGAGGCCCAAACCTTTGTAAATGGCTTTGTCTGAGTATTTTTATTATGTAATAACAGTGTAACGTGGTGGAACTTGGGCAAAAACAAGACTATGTGCTCCTTGCTCCTACTCTTCTGTAACTTGTGATGCAACACTGACATTTCCCCGCTGTGGGACAGACACAGAATCTCTTCTTCTTACACAAAAACATCAGAAAGTGGCGATTTGTGACGTTTGAAGTCGCGTAAAAACAAAGTAACAGAGACGCCATTCTCATTGGAATACATTGTAGCAAAAGCACAGACTGTACAAAAAGACAACGAAGCCCAATAAGAACCTTTAACTCATTGACTGCCAGCCGTTTTTGATCATTCCACTGTTTCTCAAGACCCACAGAATATTATTTCCTATGACTATGTGAAATATGAAACCAGATTCTGAAAGACTGGATTGTCTACTTTCATCAGCAAAAATAAGCTTGTTTCTAACTGTTTCTATGGTCCTGTAATCCCCAGTCAAATAGAGGGTCTCAGACAAATAAGTCAATGGCAGTCAATGAGTTAAATCTACAATAACACACTATTTTTGGGGCTAAAACGTGAAACAAGAGCAGTATTTTCAAAGCATATGCGCTGGTTATCATTTGCGCCTAAAGAAGAGGCAGAAACAGCTGCTAACGTGAAATAACCGAATCTACTGATAGAATAAATCCACACGAAGGCGCATATCTATAGTGTAAATACCATAGACAGTAATGATCATATATACAGGAGATAAAACACCAGCACAGACTGTAAACAGATGGACAATGCTTCGGGCTCAACTAACCGACTCCATGAAGCTACCACCGCAACCAAACCGCTACTTTTGGGCAAAAACGTGCAGTTAGCGCAGTATTACGCAGGAGATCTGGAGGGATTCTGGATTGAAGTTGTGCCTTATGTAGTGGCAGAAACATCGCTGCTGACGTGAGGGATTAATAGGTACAAAAACAAATATATTTAGGAGTGAAAATCCACACGGACGCGCACGGAGCACAGCGCGCTCTCGGTCCCGGTTCCATCTCGGTCTGATTTTACGCACAGGTTTTGCGACAGTAGCAACAAGCCCCACGTTGTTTTTGTTTTCATTGTTCATACTCACTTGGCAGACCATCCTCTCCACTTCACCAGGAACTCCAACTTCCCCTGCAAAACACACACACACATAAAAGCCAACGATCAG